ACTTTCTTTCCTTTCCTTTCACTTTCCTTTCACTTTCCTTTCACTTTCCTTTCACTTTCCTTTCACTTTCCTTTCACTTTCCTTTCACTTTCCAGCCCGTTAGTCTCGTTGTAGACGTCGATCGTATCGATCTTAAAATAATTCGCTTTTTTTCCCTTTCGATACTGATCGCGTTTTCGGTCCTTACAGATATTATGAGTTGTATTTCGGTACTCGTTTCGAATAGGAAAGTCCGTAATCTACCGGTAGGATTTGCAGCCCGAGCAGCGCAATCAATTCGTAAGTAAGCTGGCCATATTGAAAATTCTGATTGAGCAAGTGGTCTGATTAATATAATTGAATTTGAGTCGCGTTTAGCTATATTTTCCCTCGATTTCTGGTGTTGTGTAACAAAGTACCAACAGACCCAGCCGCGGTGGCTGCATGATCTCGCTAAATTCTGGCTGCTTCCCCCACTCATAACAACATCCTATCCGGTTTATTCCGTCGAGACCCCTTCAAATAGAATCTGGGGAGCGGAGAGGTGAAAGGAGCTTGTAGATAGTAAGGTCTAGAGAGGTGGGATGCATATAATCTGGAATAAGAGCTGATTATCTAGCTGCTGCGCACACTCCATGACTGTGACACCTGGACCGTTGCATTCATTATCAGTCATGGTACCAATCAGCTCGGAGACTACTCCAGAGTGTCCCTGTTCACTGCCGCTCCATCAGCATTTATACGACACATATTATCAACAGCCAAATAATCATAGCTATTCTGGACCAATGCTGTCTAAAAGACATAATCTGCCCTTTGGTTTTCATATCGCAAAAGGTAAACAACCGCTCGCTTGTCGGGAAAGGGGCATCGTTCAGCAAATAGGTCATGCAGGAGATGGCTCACCGAACCACACATTTGATGCTTACCCCTGGTCATTTCCGGCTCTGATTGAGCAGACTGACTATTATTTTACCATATGTACTATGTAGCCATATATCGGCATTTGTTCATTCTATTCCGTCACTGTTCAGCACCGCGCCTACACCCCTCACTGTCTCAATTGACAGTCTCTAGCAAGTCATCCCACTCCCGTAACCAGGTAACTAACTCCACTTAAAGATAACGACTCACTCCAAATGTCTTCAGCGACCCAATTCATAAATTGCCGAAAATGCACGACCGGAATTTTGGTTCCCGCCCCCCTGACAATCGATTCCTCCTCCGGGCTCATAATACCAAACACTCCTCTCCCTCCAAACACCCAGCGAGTAGACCTCAAGAACGCCATCATCTCCCCTGGCTTCCTAGAGCTTCAAACAAACGGTGCCCTGGGCTTCCACTTTACGCATTATAGCGAGCCAGAATATTACCAAGCCGGCGTGCGAAACATCGCTCGCTACTTGCCTTCGACAGGAGTCACAGGTTTCTACCCCACAATACCGACAGTCCCACCAGCAATCTTCCAGCGCGCTCTACCGTTCCTGAGACCACACGATCAGTCGGATTCCGCCTCGGTGCTGGGAGCCCACGTTGAAGGTCCGTTCCTGTCGCCGTTGAAGAAAGGAGCTCACGATGCGAAGGCTATGCACGTCCCAAAGACATCCTCGCTGGAATCCATTTACGGGAAAGAGAACCTAGAAAACTCGATCAGGGTGTTGACGCTAGCTCCTGAGCTGCCAGGCGCGTTGAGCCACATCAACACCCTGACGGAAAAGTACGGTGTGCGCGTTTCCATGGGCCATAGCGCGGCGAACCATGAGCAGGGGCTGGAAGGGCTGAAGGCTGGCGCGAACCTCATTACTCATATGTTCAATGCGATGAATCCGTTGCATCATCGGGAGCCAGGGCTTCCAGGTAAGTTTCCAGCGTATTGTCGCGGATAAAGAATATTGTTGACTTCTTACGCATCCAGGCCTCATCTCCGGTCCTTACCCACCGTACTTCTCTATCATTGCAGACTCAATCCACCTGCACCCCCGTATCGTCGGTATCGCGTACCGCTCCTCACCCTCTCACTGTATTCTTATAACAGACGGTATCGAGCTTTCGGGACTACCAGACGGCATTCATCCGGGCCACGCCCAAATACCCTTCAACCAGCTCAAAGCCGGCAACAGAGTCACCATCGAAGGCACAGATACTTTGATTGGCACCTGTGTTGGCCTAGACGAATGTGTGAGGAATCTGATGGCCGGAGCAGAGATCCCGGTTGAGCAGGCAGTGAGATGTGTGACTGAGAATGTTGCAGATGCGATGGGGCTGAAGGATAGAGGGGCTCTGGAGGTTGGACGGAGAGGGGATTTTGTGGTGTTAGATGAGAGCGGTGAGGTGGAGGAGACTTGGATCATGGGAAAAAGGGTATTTTGTAAAATTTAATGAAGAGATATGGATGAAGATGTCGTTTGGATAACATCGATCCATCGAGCCCTCCTTAAGTCCCAAGTGTTGTGTCCCAAACTCATCAAGCGCATCAAGCACCTCCAGCGCCCGAGAAACAAATCATGCACCGAGATCATAGACTGGTGTTTGTGGATTGTACATCTAAGCCTGTATGGCCATTTGGAAGTATCGATTGTTGAGTCAGATGAAAGTCCCAAGGATCCACAAGGTGGTTACAGACTCTCTCAGTAGCCACCTATCTATGCCCATGGGTAGGCGGATATGGTTATGTGACAAGAGCCGGACAATTCGCATGTTTAACAAAGCCAAGCGAAGATGGTGCAAGTGATGCGTGAATAGGAAATAATATCAACATGACAGAATTCCCAACAGCGTCGTCTGATACGCTGTTAATTTAGTATTGATATACAAGAGCATAAAGCTTATGCGTATGGCTTCAGATGCCCGTTATTGTCATACTTCGCCTCTGCTCATAATCAGTATTGCGCCAAATCAAGGGGTTAGGATGGGAAACGCACTGAAGAACGTATAACTTAGCGTTACCTGCTCAATGCCTCTCATGTTCGGATCATTCGCAAAGTCCGGATCGATGTAGAAGAACACGGGCATATCTACCGTCTCTCCGGCATTCAGCCTCTGCTCCTCAAAGCAAAAACACTGGATCTTTGAAAAGTACGGCGCCACCTGCGCAGGCGTCACACTGTATGTAGCCACTCCAATAATATCATCATCCGATCGATTTGTCGCAGTGTAAAACGCTAACGCTGTTTCTCCTGGAAGAACTCGTACTTCTCGCTGTTGGGGTACGAATTTCCAGGGCATCACATCGGAGACAGATCCGTTGAAAGTAATGCGGATACGCTTCGCAGACGTGACAGGCTTGAGGCGGGAAGAGGGGTCACCTCCGTCGTCTGTAGTACCATGCCCAGATGCTTTAATCGGCTGGCCTCCCCACCCGGTAGTTTGGCATATCTGTATCTAAACATCAGCTAGATGCTTGGGTAGGTAAATGACGCGCTGCACCAGATAAACGGACCATCTTATACATCGGCACAGAGCCATACGAGAATGCCACTGTCCCCATGATAATACTTATGGCATAGTATAGCGTCGAGACATTCTTCTGTGCGAACGGGGCTCGCAACTGCTCCATCGACGGGGCGACATTGGCCTGGGTTTTCGAGGAGTTGGAGATTGGTCTGCTCATGGACGGCTTGAAGAAGGGCGTCAAGAGACTGCGGCGGCGGGTGATTTTTGCGCACGACGAGCATATCCAGGGATCCTTCCGGGCGAGACTCGATGCGGATCTTGAGAAGATGTTCATAGTGTATTATGATGCTGGTGCTGTGTTGGAAGAAACTTGGCAGAACAGATAGAATTGGGATTCGATTTCGAGGTTATTCGGCGATACAATGATCCGTGCCAATAAGCCGAATACGGTAGAGATTCCTGGGTATATACCTAGGTATATATATATGTATATATATATATATACATATATACCTGTACACATATATACAACGTCCAGATCAATGAAATCAAGGATACGAAGTATCCACCTACCTAGAGCATTGCTTCACGACTTTGGATAACCAGAAGTCTCCAGTCAGGCAGAGTAAGCAGGCAAGTCTCGAAATATTGATGACGCTCTCAAATGCCTCGGCATCCCGTATGATGTCACCCGTCTAAGGTACCTGTACATTATGATCCTCAGCTGTTGACAGTCAGTTGGAAACTTTTATATACGATGTGTCTCTTCTTCCATAATGCTCAGCTTCAGTCTATTACGTCCTGTCCGCCTACATCAGATTCTCCTCACGGGAGTGAAGGGCCCCGGGTTGCTACCTTGCCATAGACAAATTCGCACAATGAGCTCCCAGAAGCCAAATTCCAGCCCGCCGGCTCACGAAAGTAGGTGAAGTGCCCACTTGAAACCTATTTGGTGGTTGTTCAGGAAGAGCGCTGATCTGTGCACAGTGGTGTATTTCCCCAAGATGATATCGGCTTTACCAGCTTCGTCAGGGGAGTTCCGAAAAGTATTATTTACGGGACTGTACTCTCAGGTGGTTTTGATGAACGTTCCAGTTGGAGGAGACATCGGGGATGAAGTTCATACCGTCGATCAAGCCTTGACTTTCACATCGGGCAAGGGCAAGGCCACCATCAACGGCAAAGACCAGGATGTTGAAGCCGGGGATATGATGGTTGTTCCTGCAGGCACTCAGCATCAATTCGTCAATACCGGAGACTCTCCTCTAGTAATTCGGCCCAATCTTCGGGAGGAGTACGCATATCTGGATGATGCTAATCGGCGAACAGGTTCTGTACACGATTTACTCGCCTGCTGAGCACAAGGGTACAACCGTTCATCATACCAAGGAGCAAGGTGATAAGGAGGAAGCGGATGGTATTGATGAGGCTCCCAGTTGGAGTCAGAAGAGCAAGAAGGAGAACGAGGATGCCGGGCTGGTGAAACTCAGTGGGAAGTACTAGATAGAGCCTCTGATCTGCCCTCGAAACCAGGCAAACCCTCACGTTACTTCAGTTCATTGTGCTCCTGTATTCCTATTTCCCTCTTCCTGGATGCGATCGTGTGGCTTGTTTGTTTGGCATCTCGAGCCCTATCTCATGCTACCGCTCATCGTTTATCGTCATCAATTTCTCGGTATAAAGGCATCCACCACAGAGGAAAGCACCCCCCTCATACAAGGCGGACCCTCCTCAGTAAGCACTAGTACGTGGCTCTCTGGCTTCGTCAGCTACTCGCAGCAGTACGCGCTCGCCGACATGTCGTAGCACCTTTCCAATATCGAGCATAGGTCAAGATAGATCCGACTGTTACACGAGACTGGCTAGTAAGATCATATGTTGACAAGTTCTTGATGTCTCCGGCAGATAGATCCTGTGCTTACACCAGCATAGGGCAGCATATATATAGAGAGAGAGTGTGTGTGTGGAAGAGCGAGAGGGAGACTTCGACAACCGCAGGTTTACATTTTCAGATCATCTATTCCTGTCTATCGAATTTTTAGTTGGCATACTTTGTCCCGCTATCCACACATTATGGCGAATCCCCAGGTAAAGCTCGTGGCTCTGCAGACCTTTCTCGATGATTTTCCACACATCACATGTGTAACACCATCCTCTCCCAACTACACTTCTCTACGGCACATCTTCGCGAGTGATAAAGAGGCTATCCCTCTCGCTATCGTGCGCCCGAAATCTGCCGCCGATGTTTCTCTCCTCATCAAGTTTGCTGTCTCGAATTCTATCAGGATTACCGTTCGCACAGGAGGGCACAATTTGAGCGGGCTATGCTTCGCACAAGACGCCTTGACCATCGATATGCGAGATATAGCCTACGTCGATATCGCCGCTGACAAAGAGACGGTGCGCATCGGAGGAGGAATCATACAGCTTGACCTTGCTCTAGCATTGGATAAAGAGGGCTTAGCGACACCTATGGGAACATGTGTCACTGTTGGGCATGTTGGATGGGCAACCTACGGAGGCTATGGCCCATTTTCCAGCCATTGGGGTCTGGGCGTTGATCAGATTGTTGGAGCAAAGATTGTGAATGCAAGCGGGAATGTAGTAGAGGCCGATGAGAGGCTACTCAGAGGCCTGAGGGGTGGTGGAGGTCTCTTCGGAGTCGTTGTCGAATTGACCATCAAAGTGTATCGGATCAGAACTGTAAGTGCTTGCGCATCGGAGACTTTCCTGATTCTCGCAACTAAACACAGAACAGGTTCTCACGGGAGCGCTTCTCCTCGAGTCACAAAATCTCGCCACGACTTTCAAAGAGTTCAGCGTTGGGTATCAAGATCTCTCTGATAAGGGGCTGCCATCTGAGCTTTTGTTGCAACCGTGCGTCATGAGCTTGCCGCAAGGACGAGTGATCGTTATAAATTTCATGTGGAGTTCTGAGGATATGGTGGCTGGACGAAGATGGTTGGCAAAAGTGGAAGCACTTGTTCCCATCGCTATCAATACGGTCACTGTCACAACCATTCCCGACTTGATGAATGCCAGTGTGTCCGGAGCCCCCGAAAGCGCATACGGTGTGACCTGTACTCACAGTCTAAAGAAGATCACCAGCGAGGTAGCCGCAGTGATCGGAGACAATTTCTCGGGTATGGGAGATGATTGTCTCTTCACTCTTCATGAACTTCGAGGAGTGTCAGCCAGTGCCAACAAGGACTCGGTGTTTGCTACCAGAGAGCCCCACTTTATGCTGGAGATTCTAGGTAAGCTTGATATCAAACTTCTCACCCTGAGATTCCGAAGGTACAGACTGACACATTTCGAGGTTATTCGACGACGGCGGAGAACAGGGACGCCTCTGCGGCATGGGCCGAGAAGACTTGGCGAGAAGTCGGCCAGACAGACCCAAGCAATGTGCTTCCTGGAACGTACATATCACTAGACCATTCAGCCTCAAAGCCCGTCTCTATGCCTTTTTCGAGACACTATGGCCCATATCACGAAGAGCTCCGCGCCCTGAAAAGAGAGTTCGACCCCGAAGATGTGTTTGCGTTGGCGGTGCCTATACTGAGTAACTACACATAGTCTAGTTCCAGATTGGATTTCTTTAGGCGACCTTCTTGATTGAGTGAATCATCTTAAACTATCATTATGAGCATTCCCTCGTACTTTCTCTTCCTCTTCGGAACCAAAAACTTGCCGATTTTGATTATCGATCAATTACCTCGAGTGGGAGGTTCATGATCCACGTCTGCAGAGAAGCACCAGAATCTATGATTCGTCTACACCGCAATGTGAACAGTTGAAGGAGTAGATCACGAGGCAACCGCTTTTGTACACCATGGGTTGTCTCATTCTCATAGCGGAGTTGTTGGGTCTTCCTTACGTGTTAAATTCTGTGAAGTTGGCAGGTTTTCTTCACCAAATCGAAAATACACACATCTCGCTTAATCTAAATCCAGAAAGGGGGCGAGAGCTCGCTAGTTGCGTGATGGCGTAAACAAAAGCATCCCGGCCATGAAATCTCGCACGGAATCCCTCGCCTGGGCGGGAACGGGCATCAGCGACGAAGCTACTAGGTAACATATGGAGAGAAGGGAGCCCGCTGATCAAGAGCAGTAATTTTAAATAGATCGCTTTGCATTCATACTTCGGATCATCCATGAAAGCACTGGTAGTGGAAGCTACATGTTTATCCCAGCCTCGAATAGTCACGAGCTCGATATTGAAGGGGCTTGCAACCGGATGAAGCGCTTACACCAACCCATTCGATAATAAGTGTCGAGCCGAGTATACCACAAACATGTACGACTCGCCCTTTGAATCCCACATATCGTCAAAAGCTGCTTGATAACCTGTGCTAGGACTCTGACCTCCTGATCTGACTCTGGAGACCAGCCGGCGAACCCATCTGACGCCGATGGTACGTCGTATCAATGATAAGTCGATCTTGCTCACTTGACATCGAAACTCGTAAGGGTCAGTACCTCCAAGACTACCCTGTTAGGACCGACAATGGCTTGGCTACGAATCATGAGGCTTGCAGGGATCGGGTAAAGTGTATAAAAAATCCGATTTTTGGGAAGCATGAAGAAAATTGCCGCCGACTCGTTCTCGTATAGTATTCTCCTCATCTCACTCGACGGGGTCCAGTGAGATACTGATCCAGAGAAACATTTCTATCCGTGCTATATGGAAGAGATTTCAGAGCCAGAGAATAGTAAATGCATCAGGGTCCATAAAAATACCAGAAAATACCAGAAAAATACCAGCTTAGCAGCTTGTATCAGAGACAGATTTTTTTTTCATTTGAATCCATATACCCTGACACGGGATGTGTCTCCCCTCTACAAGCTTTTTTCCACGGCATCCAAATCGCCAATTACCTCTTTCCAAGCCTCCCACTCGTTGTCACCACCTGATATGCCGCCCGCAAGCGGCAGTCGGGTCCCGTCCCTGTCTCCCATCCCAAGTATCCTACTCACAGCCTCCTTGATTCCAACCGTACCAAATTTGACCACAAGCTCTTCCACAGAGCTAACCTTGTACTGGAGCAGTCTCCTCTCCGCAACCTCCGCGTCTGTTGGTTGATTCTTTACGGAAAGCTTGTATAAATGAACCACTGATTTGGGGAAAAAGCCCGCAGTCCCGTCGATCGTCCCTGCGCAGCCCAGTACGACCACTGGCAGAAGCTGTTGCCCTAGCCCAGTGAATGTATGGAAATGCTTGTTGTCAATCTTTGGGTTTGCACCGATTTGAGCATGGTAGGATACGTCGCCGTGAGAAAGCTTGCATCCCACGATGTTGGGGTGTCTCGACAAGGCGGCGTAGGTGGATGGGACTACCTTGACGTTGTTGGAGACTCCCGGGTAATGGTAACTATCAAGAATATCAGCAAGAAAGCAGTGTAGGTCAGAACAAAGACCGACATCATGATGGGAATAGGGCTCTGGTCAGCAACAGCCGTGAACCATCGTATGATACCATCCTGTGAGCTTGCACCCGAGAAGAAGCCTGGTGTAAGACAAAGTCCCCACTGACTGCCGGCTTCCTTCGCACTCTTCAGCTGGTCGACGACCTCTTCGATATTCTGCGCTGCTGTACCTGCGATGATGGGGTAATCTTTATAACCCGCGTCGTCAAATGCTTTCCGAACGCCAGACAGTATCTCGAACCGCTCCTTGTTTGTGAGATGCACAGCTTCCCCTGTGCTACCAAGTACCACGAGGCCTGTAATCCCCGACTTTGCAAGATGGAGGGCATGTGCAGCCTGTGTCTCTGGGTCGAGAGGAGCCGCACTCGCGTTGTAGTTCGCGGCTTTCTTGGAAACGAAGAAGGTCGGTACAGGAACGTACACACCAGCTGGAGGAGGGCTAGGCATCTTGAGATTTTGCAATGATTTTGGAGAATGCCGTAAGGTATAATATTGATGCAGATTTAAGGCCACGGGGTATATATATATTTACGAGTCAATATATAAAGGTGCAGCTACCGGCAGTCAGCGGCGGGCGACCATGACAACATTCGGGCCAATATACAGCGAGCGGTTCACACTAAGAAGATATCAGATAACAGTGCCAGTCCTGGGGTAAGGGTAGTACGGAGATACCATTATCTAATTGAATGACTACTCATGGCCAAGCTAACAACACATATGACGACGGTAAAATAGCTGTTTTGTTGATTTTGTCGCGTTATCTGATGTAAAGAAGTAGGGTTGAAGAAAAATATCATCTTGGACCTTTGGGCAGGGGTAGCCATTCAACGGCACAATTGTGACCATGCAGAATCCAACATTTTCAAAATCAGGCTGCCAGATAACCAGCAACGTAATAGTGCGCAGAGGGAGAAAAACTCCTTTTTCCAAAACTGCTAACATCAACTGAGTAGGAGGTATCTTTCGCTAATCCATCAAATCAACTCCTTGATCCCATAAGCCTTGATAGCTGTACCGCTCCAAATCATGATTTGCTCAGCTTGACTCAGACTGGCCATTTCACAGAACCTTTGCACTATCAGCTTCCACTTCTTCCAAGCATCGTCGACCCCAACGGTACACACGGGCCAGTCAGAGCCGAACATGATTCTAAATGGACCAAACGTGGCCAGAATTACCACAAGGTAGGGCTGCAACGCCAAAAATATCTCATCTTCGGGAGCCTTCTTGAGAGAATCGGGCATCTCTGAGAAACATCCGCTCAGTTTCAGAAACGTCTTGCTGCACTTGCTAAGCCGGAACATAGCTGTTCTCCAAGCGACGAAGCTTGGGTCTGTCTGGTTGTAGACCGAGAAATCAGGCTTGCAGAGATGATCTGTATACTTGTCAGTAACTGGAGCTGAGGAGATCGTGCATTGAAACGTACTGCATATGAAAGTTACCTTCGCCTCGTCCGACACACCCTCATGAGCCTTCTCGATCATCTCCACAGCCTCCTCCAGCTGCCACTTCCCACCACTACGTTGATCCACACCGAGATCAAACACAAAATGTTTCTTTCCCAGCCACTTCAGCCCATCAATAAACTCCGGCGTTAACATAGTTCCCCTGGGTTTATCCTGCAGCAAGTATCTAAACCCCTTGATCTTCCCAAAGCTCCCCTCCGCATGCTTCTCCACCTCCTTCACGTACCGCTCCAACACCTCCGCTCCACTTGGGACAGGCGCCCACGGAATGATGGCGAGACACAACTTCTTTTGCTCTTCCGTGTGGCCCTCTCCCTCCCTAGGCGTGCCGAGCGCTATCCTCTTCAGCCAATCCACCTCCATCAGCGGCATCTCCCAACCACTGCCATCCTCAGCTCCACGCTTGAGGTCGTGCTTCCTGTCAGTTTCTAGGAAAATGAAGCCTTCTAGGGTAGTGGGAGCTCCGGTAGCCTCGGCATATTCATCCAACGATTTCTGGCCGTGCAGAGGATTGGCTGAGGAGCACCAGGCCAGTGTCTCGAGCTCGGCTGAGGGGTAGAGGTGGATGTGAGAGTCGATTATTGGGTATTCGGCGGCGGCTTCTGCCATGGTTGCGGTTGCGGTTGCAGGCTTGGAGTAATCTGATGGCGCGCTGGTGACGGGAGACAGAAACCTGGGGATGTACTACGTACGTGCATCTGTCTGGTTGGGCATGCGGCTTGAAGTTGTTGAACCCGGAGCGGGAAGTATGAAGTATGATTGAAGCACTCGGGGGAAGTTCTCCCGCCATCCCGTTCAACTCAACTCCCCCACACCTTCATCCTTATCCTTATCGGAACGATAAGCAGGGATGACGTAGGGCCGAGGGAGGGACTGGTGGGGCACAATGGGGGCACAAGCGGTTTCAAGTGGGTCGTGGGGTCTGTTGGGATTTCGGGTAATGAAAATTCATTCCACGTGGTCATGCTCGTGAAGGCCACAGTCCTACCGATATATTCTAAAATCCACTCCTGCGATCCCTTAGGAAGCCCGACAACACTCATTCCTTTGTGTGTTCCGGGTATCGAACATGAACGCCAAAGCCGAAAATCCAGATCCCCATCCCAATGCATCCATCTTGGTATCCCAAATTTCCCAAATTTCCATCCCAATCCCAATCCCTCAAACCCCAGGAGTAACCACTTCGGGGGTGCTTGGCTCGGGGAGCTCCATGATGGGCGACCCTGCTCTGTTCCCGTTCGTCTTCGCAACCGCTGGGTCGCCGTTGAGCGAGAGATTCTTCAACGCCATGTGAGATAAGGGAAGGCCGCCGCCTTGGCTCTTCGATTTCTTCGTCATCTCACGCTCGATCCCGTGCTTCACCGCGTCGAGAACGTTCTCAACTGTGACGCGGGGAACGTAGGCAGGTTCGGTTCCGTCCTGGTAGACACCAGTCTTGACCAGTATCGAGTACCAGTCGTTCTTCGCCTTCGCGTTGAACTGGTTCGTGCCTCTGATGTCGCTTTCGGGAGTGTCCCCGACGAAGTAGACCGTCTCCGGAGGGCGGTTGATGCGGTGCTCGTCCTTTCGCCACTGTTGCAGCAAACGAGTAGCGAACTCGAAGGTGCCGATCTGGGGCTTTCCGAAGGCAATGGTCTCGAGCTCTTTGCCCTTGGTCAGGTCCTTGAAGAGCATTTCGACCATCTTTCGCAGGGCACCCATGCCGAGACGCACATTGTCGTGGGCTGCGGACCAGACGATGTCGTTGTGGGAGAAGTAGATGGGGGGTCCCTCGTCGAAAGTCTCGGAGAGGGTACCGATGTAGCCGCCCTTCGACATCGCAAGGTCGAGCATGATCTGGATATCTCCGGCCCACTCTCGGCTATCGGCGAAGACGCTGCAAGACACTTTAGTTACAGGCTACTAGGGTAGCGGGACTTGACTTACAAGATAGCCTCAATCTTGGTCTCGGCGTGGTTCCGTGGCCTCGAGTTCCTGTGCTCTTCTGCAGTCAATCGGCGAAACGGCGTGGTGGCTTCATTGTCTTTGATGATGTCTCCAGGAGTGATGACATCGCGGAATCCGTAGCCTTCAGCCACCTGCCGGCACTTTTCGCCCTCCCCTCCGATAACCAGGACAGTCTCGTACTTTGCGACCATCTCTCTCATGGGTGTGTGGCCTGTTTGGATATAAGCGAGAGCTTGGAATATGGACTCGGAAGGCTTACCACAAATGAACTGAGCCGGGGAGACTTCGATGTCGAGTTGCCGGGAAAGGTCGATGCAACGCTCCGCCTCGGTTTTACCACCGCCGTTCTATCAAGAAGTCAGAGAGAATGCCTGCGAAGTCATGTGCGATCTGTGTTTGAAGGGGATGTTGGCCGGGATTCCCTGGGCAACCAAGCTGCAACAAACCGGCGATCTTTTTCAACTTACGGTCAGAAAAATGTAAGGCACTTTGATCCCATACTCGTTTTCGCCATTCAACATCTTCATTGCCTCAATTGCCTCTGGAATCGGGCGGCCACCGCGGATGAGTACTCCATCGATGTCAAATGCGAATGCAAATGAATCGGCTGTGGGAATATCGGCTGGAGTGACGGGCGAGCCAGGTGTCTCGGGGGTGCTTGAGGAGGGGGAGGCAAGGGCTTCATCCTCAAGATCGATGTCGTTCAGCTCATTTCGAGCTGATTCAAGCTTTGCAGCAAAAGTGCCGTGGTATGATTGGGCCCTGGAAACCATCATTCGTTCTGGCACAACAACAACAGGACCACCCTCTTTGATGTCATTCTCTGTGGCAGTCATTGAGGATAATCGTCGGAGTCCTGGTCTGGGTTTGGATGGGTTTAACAAGCTAGGCTCGATGGGAGGCGCCATGGTGAATATATAGTTGAAAGTTGAAGTATAAGCACTGGGTCGGGTGTATAGGCGGGTCCTCGTAAATGACTCGGGCCCAAGGCCTGGAGATACTGGGGGAGGCGGATCAAGTGTGGGTCTCTGGGTCTCTTGGTAGGAAGGTTTGAGCTTCGAAACGACCAATCTATTTGGAGGCTATAGTAGGTGCAGGAATAGGAAAATAGGAGTCGCGATGGAGATGAAAATAGAAATGGAGGTGGTAAGAGAAAGTCGGAAGTAGCGTGGGGCCTTAGTCAGATGTGAAACTTGAAGGAGGTAGGGTCGGTAATAGTAGTGAGATGGAGCAACAAGGAAGAGGTTTTTATATTTCTAAGGGGAGGGGAGGCTATATGGGGGTTATGTACTACTCTGTGTGTATGTAGAGCGGCAGTCGGCAGCAGCACCACGGGCGGCGGCTAGTCTGCCATTAACGGTGGCTCGATGATGAGGGACGATCATGGCCGTGTGTGTAAGTGGTAGTAGACGTTCAACAGCATCAACCGCATCATCGTCAGCATCTTCAGTCCGCATCAGCATTATTAGCATCAGCATTATTAGCATCAGCACCAGCGTTAGCATCGGCATGAGCATGAGCATGAGCATCAGCATTAGCATTAGCACCAGCATTAGCATCCGTATCAGAGTGCATCAGACTGTAAAGTTCGCATCGACTCCGTATTCTCTGTACGCCCTACCCTGTCCAAGTCCAAGTTCCAAGTCCAAGTGCATGTCCATGTCCATGTCCATGTCCATGTCCAGGATCCCAAGCCTACATGACATGCATTCACGTGTCGGTGCGCGGCGGGGTCTCTGGAAATTGTAATTCTACCGTACTACTACAGAAGTTGTAGTTGTAGTTGTAAATGTAGTTGTATGTCCGTAGATATGATTGATCTTCCCTTATATTTGTCATCAAATCAGAACGACGAGAACTATCAAGACTTTTCTCTCTACGCATATCTCTCAAACGTATCCATGTCCTACTCCTACCACCGACCGCACTGCATCGCGGTCGAAACATCACATCCGACTTGTTCTCTCAATCCCGCCATGCCCTGGAATATTCCTTATCACCTCGGCTCTCGCTTAAATTACCGATCCAGTGATCCATCACAGGGAGCCCTCCGTACTAACCTCATATAGATAAGTGGGTGCTTTACTTACGGAGTAGGTGACTTACGTAGTAACTTTAACTTCATCTCAACCCAACCCCCAATCCCTCTCAATCCGAGTTCCAACCCAACTCAACCCAACTCAGCCAATAGCCAGCCATCAGGATTGGTTTACTACTTACCATCTTGTGCCTGGTAGCCCTATGGACGACCGAATCCTCCGTCTTATGTAAAGGTAAGCTTAACCCGAAGCCGATATGACTATCTTTGAAGTCAGTTGAGTGACGATCGTCGACAATATTTCCTGTTTCTTACGTACAACTCTTCTCTCCGATCGCACTAAAGACCTCATCACCCACAACCTTTTTACTCAGCCAGTATCATCGATCTTAAGCCTGTAAATATGTAAGTGCCGACAGATACCTCTTCTTATTGATGTGCCCCCCGCCATCATCAACACCAATACCAACACCAACTACACCAACCATCGTATCTATCTCGGCCTAATCCAAACAACGGTAGTCCCTGATTGGAAACCCGATATCGAAGTGAACTCTTGGCAACCGTTCAACTCCGTACGTCAAGACTCAAAGGGGGATGGATTCCTACCTACTCGTGCGGTCCGTAATAACAGGACTCTACTCGCCAAGCGCGCATACGGTTATTCTCTATTCGCAGCATTCTTCAGATTAATCCTTTGGGTTTCAGGGTCTTCCTTCATGCTGGAAACGTGTTTCGATCATTGGACCATGGCTGAGCAATGATCCATGGCTGAGCTTAAAGTTCCGGCTCCGTATTTTGACATCTCGCCGATCGTACGAACTCCTTGGAGAACCCTCTTTTTTTTCTGTACTGGTATCATTCAGACGCCGAGCCAGGGTCTTGATCTTGAACCGTCGGGTTGGACCCCTCAATCGGCATAACCGCAGCACCTTATCCGTTCTGAAGCTTGTCGAAAAAAGCCGCATCTCTCCTGTGACATGACGAGATTCTGCCTTGGATATCGTCCCGTCCCGGGTTTCCGCGAGCAAACCAAAACAATCCTTTCGTTATTGTCAAGCATTATTTGTTATTTTAATTATCTGCCGATCGAGTCGAGGACTTAATGAATGCGTTGTCAGGTGCTTTGCGAACTGGAAGTCGTCCAGAAATGAAAATGAGGGGCACGGAGGGGCACGTTCTTGCCAAGATTAGGTATTTGGATTTCGAACAAGGTCACGCGGATCGGAGATGCAGTCAAAGCTGCAAAGCAATGACTTGTAAGCCCAATTCGTACCTACAAAGTTTACAAACTCCCCATTCAGTACTTCTTGCACCGCCTCAGGCGTACCATGGTCTATACTTGAATCACCGCCCAGATTTGGGCGTGATAAGGCCTGAGTTACTTACACTATGTTGATATTCGCTTAGTACTAGAAATCATGGCGACCAGACCGGTGCATTTTTCTTCCGTACGGTATTACTCGGCCTGTGAAGATGGACACATTTTGCTGATAGGCTGGTCTCGCACACAATTTCCAAGCCGAGCTTTGTCTTCTGATTGCCACGAAGTTATGTGGGATTGCAGGCTCACGCAGTCTGTCTGCTGTCAGCCTGCTGGCTGACGAAAAGCCAGCCATTTTTGGTGGGAATGATAATATCACGTTACGACATCGGGCATCTTCATTCATGTCGAGCTCGTACGCGTACGTGCAACGCGGAAGTGGTGTAATTTCTCTGACGTCGATCATCACAGTCACACAATATCAGCGCTGCGACTTGTGCAGGATACCGATCTGAACGAGTGAGAAATCAGATATCCCAGAGAATCGACATTCCTGGCTCGGCTTGGGTCCATCGATAGATGAATATCTGTCTCGACTTTGTTTTCGTACAAGGTCAATTTTTTATATTTACAAGCGAAAATAACAGGCAGACCATCGTGTTTGACCATCAAAGTTCGTCTCTGTTATCACGATCTCGACCTCAATTCCTCGGAGACTCGCGATATGCCTACGAACTAGACTTCAATCATCTAGGTACTTATAATCCCCGCCTCACGTGTCTGGGACTTTGGCACGGTACAAATCTAGTCACGTGGCCACGTGGTTTGAGCTACCGGTAGGTTAAGGCTGCGGGGGACATTGACCTGCTGACGTCACGTCAGCATATTCTCTGTTACTATAGGGAAGACAGGGTAACAGGGTATAGAGTAGCAGAAGAGGTAAAGTATATTATTACCATATTACCATATTACCAAGTAGTAATAGAAGTAGGTACCGGTATCGTGAGGTCCGTACCTTATCGGAGGGGGCGCGTGGGTGAGAGGGTGAGAAGTGTGACAGTGCGAGTGATTGGGTGGGCAGCTGCAGAAAACAGGAGTAGAGAACGATCGAGCTGTGCAGTACTTACAAGTAATAGGTGAAGTGAGAATGAATCACTTGCAGTTGATCGGCTTCTGACGCGATGCCAGTGGTACAGTAGTGGGTACCTTTCCTTAGCTCCCTCCCCTACGCGGCTCTTGCTCTTTTCCCAAAGTCAACACGCCGTCCATTTCAGTCTCCACCTCCACCTCCACCTCCATCTCCGTCCCTACCTCCCCCTCAACAACCGTCCCGGGGCAGCGTGGTAGCTGCTCGTTCGACTGGCCCAATGGTGCAAATCAATCACCAAGAGTACCTGACCGAGGAAGAAAAGCGACTGAAGGAAGACCGAGAGAGGACCAAGTACTGGAAGAAGTGGGGGCCGTATGTCGCTGAGCGACAGTGGGCGACTGGTAAGCCCAATTTCCTCTATCCCCCTCGAGCGCCAACCAAATTTTCTGGAGACCAGTATCCCGACTAACTACCCTATCTCACTCGGCAGTTCGTGAGGATTACAGTGCGGATGGCGACGCTTGGAGTCGTGAGTTCTCACCTACCCATCCAACCACTCAACCAACCAATCAACCACTACAATCCTTGCCCAACCGAATCGCCCTTCTGATCAACGGCCTGCAGACTTCCCCCACGAACATGCTCGCTCGAGGACTTTCCGCTGGGGCGAGGATGGCATTGCGGGAGTCTCAGACACCCACGGCCTGCAGAACATCGCCTTTGCCTTCTGGAATGAGGAAGAGTTCGTACAACTGCCGGGGTAGCTAGCTATTTGAAGCAGCACAGCGCTGACACGTGCACAGCGCTTTTTTAAAGGAACGTCTATTTGGCCTCTCGAACCCCCAGGGTAATCATGGAGAAAGTATCAAGGAAGCTCATTTCCATCTCGACAACACTCCCACGGTAAGTGGCATCGTCTAGCATCCAGCAGTGATAATCTCGAGTGTCTCGCACTGATAACCGCTCCTAGCACTCGTATATGAAACTTCTCTACAAATACCCCCAAAAGAAGTTCCCCTACGAAGATCTCATCCGGGAGAATGCGAGGAGAGGTAAGCAGGATCGGGAGTACCAGATTGTTGATACGGGAATCTTTGACGACGACAGATATTGGGACATTACCATTGAGACTGCCAAGGAAACCGACGATCCAGACGAGCTGCTTTTCCGGGTTACCGCCTGGAATAGGGGCCCAGAGCCAGCACCACTGCATATTATTCCACATTTTTGGTTTAGGAATACTTGGGCCTGGGGACACGAAACTGCAGACAAGAAGCCAAACATCCGCAAGGTTAATGAGACGGTGGTGCAGAGCAAGCACCACAAGCTGGGGGAACGCTACTTCTCACTATCTCCTTCTCCAGGAGTTGGTCCTAGTGGCACGGACGTGCTCCCCAGGCTTATTTTCACGGAAAACGACACCAACTTTGAAAAGCTATACAATGGCAAGAACGACCAGCCCTACGTCAAGGATGCTTTTCACAGACACATTGTTGACGGCGAGAAGAAAGCAATCAACCCAAAACACACTGGTACCAAATCTGCTGCTTGGTTCGCGTTTAACGAGGGCGGTGGAGTGGCGCCAGGAGAATGTGCTGTGGTGAGATTCAGAATGTCCAAAAAGTATGAGGACTACGTCGACGAAGAGCTCTTTGATGATATCATGGAGAAGCGGAAGGAGGAGGCAGACGAGTTCTACAGCCGGATAAGTCCTCTGCCAATGTCTGAAGATCTCCGCAGCATCCAACGACAAGCTTTCGCGGGTATGATGTGGACGAAGCAGTTCTATCATTTCATTTGGGACCAATGGGCGAATGGTGACCCAAGTCAGCCCCCCCCTCCCCCAGAGCGGAAGGCTGTGAGAAACGCCAATTGGAAGCACATGCATCTTGATGATATTCTTTCAATGCCTGACTCGTGGGAGTATCCCTTTTTCGCTGCCTGGGACTCGGCCTTCCATTGTATTCCTCTAGCTATGATTGACCCGGATTTCGCAAAGAAGCAACTGGATTTGTTCACAAGAGAGTGGTACATGCATCCTAACGGGCAACTGCCTGCCTACGAGTGGAACTTTGGAGATGTCAACCCGCCCGTGCACGCGTGGGCCACCTTCAGAACCTTCAAGATCGAGAGAAAGCTATATGGCCGTCAAGACCTCGATTTCTTGGAAAGGGTTTTTCAGAAGCTACTCCTCAACTTCACATGGTGGGTTAACCGCAAAGACTTTGACGGAAAGAACGTGTTTGAAGGAGGCTTCCTGGGATTAGACAACATCGGTCTCTTTAACCGCTCTGAGCCGCTCCCTACAGGAGGTGTGCTCGAGCAAGCCGATAGTACTGGTTGGATGGCATTCTACTGCCTGTGCATGTTGAACATTGCGCTGGAACTGGCCAAGCACCGCCGGATCTACGAAGACATTGCTTCCAAATTCTTCGAACACTTCATGCTCATTAGCGATGCCATGACCTACAAGACCGACGAGAAGGAGAAGTCTCTGTGGAATGAGGAAGATGGATTCTACTATGATGCAATCTCATATGGTGGGCCGTGGACCCAGCAACTCCCTGTCAGATCTCTCGTAGGCTTGATTCCTCTGTATGCCACTCTAACTTTGGAGCCCGAACTCATCAACAATCTACCCGCATTCAAAAAGCGTGTCGATTGGTTCATCGAGAACAGACACGATGTTGCAGAGCGGAACATGGCAAGTATCAGGAAGAGAGGTAAAGACAATCGGATCCTGTTGTCACTTGTCAGCAAAGACCGACTTGAGAAGATTCTGAAGCGTATGCTAGATGAAGATGAGTTTTTCAGCGATCATGGGATCCGGTCTCTTTCCAAGTATCACGAGAAGAACCCCGTATCTATGGACGTGAATGGACAAGAGTTCAAGGTCAGCTATGTCCCCGGGGATTCCGACAGCGGGTTGTTTGGAGGCAACAGTAATTGGAGAGGACCTATCTGGATCGCTGTCAACTTTCTTCTGGTCGAGTCTCTTCAACGCTTTTACATGTTCTACGGACCCAGGTTTGAGGTTGAATGTCCGACAGGTTCCGGAGATATGATGCATCTTGGTCGAGTATCGGAAGAGATACAACATCGTCTCCAGCATCTCATGGCCCGTGGCGATGACGGACGCCGTGCCATCAACGATGGAAATGACATGCTGGACTTTGATCCTAACTGGAAAGACAACCTGTGGTTCTATGAATTCTTTGATGGCGACACAGGTCGTGGGTTGGGCGCTACTCATCAGTGCGGTTGGACGGGATTGCTCGCTAGGATGATCCACGACACTGGGTAAGTTTGACCGTACCCTTGGGGCTGGGTAAAAAGCTGACATACGAAAGATTGAGCTGCCGTCTTCCACAGACACCCAGAACACCTGGAACAGGGATGAATCATTACTTCGACGACGTCTTCACTCGTCATGTAAAACAAAAATCCGATAAAGTGGCCCGTCCTTCCATGCGTCGTTCTTCAACTGCTCGCTCGATTGGAGCTCGCAGCGACTACGATGCTGATGATGCTCACTCTGTTGGCAACTCAGTCGATCACGAGGACCTGGATAGGGAGAAAGAGCGTAAAGAGGCGGATTTGCGTGAGGCCAATTATGTTTTGGAACAGCTTGAGAGAGTTCGCAGCCACCAGTCAGCGGACTTTGAGACCGGAGATGAGTTTGAAGCTCAGCTTGATGGGCAATGAGAAGGGAGCGAAGTGGCACCAGGTTCTCTCTCCTAGTGGATGTTCGCAGTTCGCAGTTCGCATCTCCATCACAGGTTCCGGGCGTTGCGGTATATAAAGTAAAACGAGAGCTGGTTACGGCATAGTTAGAGCTAGAGAATAGATCAGCGATTTTGACAGCTCAACTCCAGTGGGTCCAATGTCCTTGAATTACCCCATCGGGAATCAGGCGCGTAGAAACTGCGATGGCGAAAACTGGGAATGCTCTTATTCTCGAATCTTATACACATCAACCAACCGAGCCAGCCCCATTCTCAAATCTTCTCTCGCCCTGCCCCCTCCATCAACAAAAAAAGGAAAGCCTGAATTTTACAAGGTGTCGGTGAGAAGCTTGTTCATCTTCGCAATTCTGGCCGAGACGCTGAGATCGATTGTTCTGTCTCCAATTTCTACAACGAGTCCCCCAAGAATATCGGGGTCGACCTGAAAATGGGTGAGCCAGTATCCCCAGATCTCTAGGCTATTGAAATACCTTGTTTGTAACCTTGAGCTTCTTTCCGGCACCAACATACTGAGACTTGGAAACGGCGGATTCCAGTCTGGACAGGATCTTGTTGTCCAGTTGCTATTTCTCCTCATCAGCACTCACCCCTCACACATTCTTAAACATCCGAGTAGTGTCCTTACCACAGCGCTGATAACAGTCAACTCCACCTCTCCCTTCGCCGCGCTCATCAGCTCCCCGAACTTCTCGCAGACGCCCTTCAAAAGCCCCAGCCTGTTGTAGAACGCCAGAGTGTCCAGGAAGTTCTTGACCGTGTCGCCCTTGTCCGCAACTCCGGTGTGCTTCTGCAGCTCGGCGATGATGGAAGACTTGTCCTCGGCGCTGAGGGTCGGCGCCTGCATGATGGTGGCCAGCTTAGCATCCTTGCGGTAGACCTCGTGGATGGCTGCGATGGCCTTTGCCGTGCTGTCGAGGGTGGAGTTCTTGACGGCTGCTGTGTACTATTGTTTCCGTTCGTTTTCCTGTCAGCAGCGGCTTCCTTTCCTTTCCTTTCCTTTCCTTTCCCATCCGTCCCATCTTGCTTCCTCGTATCCTTTGCTCGTCTCAAAGCCCCCGATTGATGTCGAGCTTCATCCAGATGCCCGGAAATGAAAAGAGATCAAAACGTACCAGCGCGTTGGCATATGTGCCATCGAGGGCGGAATAGAAACGGATCTGGCTGGCAGCGACCCGCTGGGGAGCTGAGGCCCGCGCAACGCGAAGAATTGCTCGACTGGAAAGCATGGTGACGGTGTTCAATTGACGTTGGGAGAGGAGAGGGAGCTTGGTTGCGAGGTGCGTCGTCTGAATCCGATTCCTACCCGAAAAAGGCCCATTATATTTCACGTGACCTTGAGCGTTCTACACAGAGAAGCTCGGGAAAATAGTAAGCTAAACTCCTCTCCGTAGGCGGCTAGCTGGCCAGCTACATTGATTATAGGAAGGGTCTCCAGGTGCTGATGAAATCGGAACTGATACTGCCAGGACTATCAGTGGTTCCCTACGAAGTTATCATGATTAAACAAGCACCTCATTCTGGAGTTGTGACATTGTTTCAGCGCAATATTATCATCACCAAACGATCGTCACTTTCACTTGTCATGTCTATTTTGACCTCGAATGTCAATTTGTGACCGCTGCGTCGTAAGCAAATGCTACCCTGTCATATCTTCTCAACCTCGCCAGCCCTCAAAGACCCGCCTCCCAATTACGCCGTCCACAACCCAAGAACGCCAGAGCCATGCATCGCGCCCACTTCGTCCAGTTACAGAATTGATCAATGATCAGTCGCTTCTCAACATGCTGTCAACAAGATCTCCCAACGGTCCCCAGAAATCCTTCCCGCTTGCAAGGTTATGCTCGTCGATAAAGAGGACATAGTGCTTGAAGCTAGTATTAAGATGGGCTTCAAGGCCAAGCTCACGGATGACCGGGTAGTGGTGGCAGTAGATATGTGCGTAGACTCGGTACATACGCTTGAAGACCTGCCGAATCATGCTTGGGAATGATTTTGGGAAAGGGACACCTGAGGGGTATTAGCGCTAGAATGCATGTGTGGACAACATATCAAGTATACCAATTCTGCTGGGGAACACTGCCTCGTTGTCAATATTGCTCTGAACCCAGCCCATCAAGTGTTCGATGTAGGTCGGTGCGGGCATCTTGGTTGGTCGTTTGAAGTTTTCTGAATCCTGCCAAAGGTACTCGAATCTGATCGAAATCAGTATTACACACTTCACGGATCGGAAAATGCGTACTCATCCGTGGCTTTCATCTCGGGGCATGACTGTGGAGAGCAGAATTCGGTGATCGACCCGTACAGAAGATTTATGTGGTTGTAGAAATCGACCACTGCATCTGGTCAATCTCGGCAAGTAAGGGGGTTGTGTTCAACATCCTACTGTTCACTGCCAACCACTCGTTCTCGTCCTCGCCCTCTGGCAGCTTGACGATCTTTCGCAAACTGCCTCCTCCAAGTGTAGCCTCCGCATACTGTCGCAACTGGTAACTCGTGGTGCCCTTGTTGGCGTTGCGGGGTCTGAACTGGTTTCTTGTCCGTTGGTTACTAAGAAGGGGTTTTGGTGAGCAGAAAATTCCATTTGATAGTCCCGATTTTCCTTCGAATGGATCCTCATCGTGTAGCTCCGTTGGCACTGTCGATGTCGACTCGGAATGGGATAAAGTGCAAACAGGTGGCAAAACTTGGAGGGCCCGAGGGCTAAGGAAGTGGAGGATAGCCGCAACCATGGAGTATGATATGGAGTACTAACACGGTAGTCATGAAGGAGGTCATTGTACTTTATTGATCTAGTGTTGTGGATTTGGGTGTGTGTGTCTTGGTCTGGCTGGCATGCCACACGTTAGCAGGGCAATTGCCGGTTTAAAGCACCGCGTACCGTACCGTACTACTACCCACAGGCGCTACGTCAAACAGCTGCGGGTATAAAGAGAGCGAGAGATGGCAGGAGTGGCCGAATATGGGCGGGCGAGCGGGCGAACGGAAATACAGTAAATGTGTGCTCATTCGAGCATTGTACAGTAGGTTGTTGTTGACTTTTAGAGGTTGGCGGAGCAAAGGCGGCTAGGCGGCTGGAGCGTCTAAGCGGGTCTCAGTTCAACTCAACTCAAGCGCCAGCGAAGGTCAATGGATATGAATAAGTTTCTGTATACTTAGTTACCTGCCGGGCCGCACCTCAACTTGACGGCTCGTCTCCCATCCGAGGGCTGGGCTCGATTTACCTGCATCGCATCGCTTCATATCACTTCCCATCCCATCCCATTATGCTGGCAGACTTCGGCGACCTCGCCGTATTGTTGCTGCATCATCGAGCTCTAAGCTCCACCAAGATCACGACGACGAGGACCGCCACCACCACCACCACCCACATCACCACACGCTTATCGCACGCTGTTCAGGAAACCCTGCCCTTGAAATGTCGGCGGCACTGACCAATATCAGGGTCTTCGTCGATTGGGCCGAGCAGACAGTATTTGCCGGCGAAGACATTCAATGCCAGATCACTTTCAAGAACATCGCCAGTACTCCCCCGCCGAGAACATTGTTACATCCTCCCAATTCCAATGGTTCTCCATCGGTAGACAGGCTGAGGAAAACTGCAGTATCGCAGATCAAGGACAGTGCCAGCCTGAGTCCTCGCGCCCCGCACACGAGTAGCAACCACCGAACGACACTTTCACTGAACGTCCCTATCGCGCCTGTCGATCCACAGCCTGTCGTCTCTGCGCCGTGGAATGAAACTCCGCCCAGGTCTGCTCGTGATGGGAAGGCGCACAAGCGCTCCGTTTCCATAATATCCATTGGGGCCAGCGAAGGACGTGTTGACGAGTTCACAAGTCAGAGCAATGTATCTGAGAGACCAAGGGGCAATTTCAGAGGCCATGGGAGGTCCGCGAGTCTTCAGGTAATTCCGCGAAGGCATGGGATCAGTGGAGGCCCTCCTTCAGGTAAAACCTAGAATCTTGATATACATAAGTGTCTAACATCCGTAGCACCTATGAACCAAAGAACGTCACACCCTTCGCCGCTGAATTCTTTATTCTCGCCTCCAAGCACGGAGCAAGATAAAACCTCGCGGCGACAGGGCGGCGTAACTACCGCTCCTGGCACACCGAGGATGCCGGGTGCCTCGTCCGCAAGGAGAAAAGGCTCGGCATCTTATCCTCCTAACTTCAAATTTCCGTCCGTGACATCCCCATCTCCTAATGGAAGACCGAATGATTCTTTCGGAGCTTCGCATTTAAACCAAGAAAATAGCCGCCTACTTTCCCCTAGACCTCGAGAAACAGTGCCCGTGGTATCAGAAAAGATACCCTTTATGACTAGGGTACTCTCGCCCGCCAGCATGGCAGGTACACCTAGGAGCAGTGGCGAGTTCTACTCGCTCAGCAATAATTCAACGGAGACTATGGCTTCAGAGTATCTCCCACAGCAGCTTGGCCGAATCCCCTCCTACGGCGGTCATGCGAGGCGTTCCTCTAATCTATCTCCAATAAATCACCACCGTCCTCCGGAGACTTTGATGATGGGGTATGCGCAAATCCATGGATCTTTCACCCTCGACGCTTCGTTGATCAGCCAGGCCCCATTTGAGGAAGTGAAACGAAAAGGGGCTGTTGGTGGCCAGGGAGGTGGTGTTATTGGCGTGGAAAACAACAAGCGAGAAAGTGGTCTATTCCGAGGTCTTGGTTGGGGAAATTTTGGTGACTCACTTGGAGGCCTTCTTGGCGGCGGCGATCTTAGCAGTATGAAGGATATGCGTGGCATTGCCAGTTCTCGATCAATTCCGCTCCTCTCGACTCCTCAGTCCATCCTCTTCGTGGATCTGCAACTTGCTCCGGGTGAGAGCAGAATTTTCAGCTACTCCTTCAAGCTTCCACGAGGGCTCCCACCTAGTCATCGCGGCAAGGCCATCAAAATATCTTACAAATTGGTGATTGGAACTCAACGGCCCGGAGGCGCTAAGGAACAGCAGGTAAAGTCCGTGGAGGTTCCCTTCCGAATTCTTAGCAGCGTCAACAGTCACGGGGAAATCCTAGGTCACGACTTGATGTCTCCATACATTATCCTTCGCGATGAGGCCAGGGTTGAGACCATCGAGGCTCCAAATCTGGAATCTTCTGGAGAGTTAGAACCAAAAATACCAGCAAAGACCACCGGGTCAACGTTGAGCGATTTCCTCTCATATGTTGATAAGCTCCTTGAGAAGCCGCGGCAGAACTCCAGTTTTGGCCTATTCTCTCCAACCGACGAACTCAGCTCTCATCGCCACTCCTTCATACCGGAGCCTGTATCGGCTAAAGAGGCCATAGATATGGCCATTATGCGGAGTAACGTAGCCACCGAATCCCGTCAGAGCGCCAACAGATTCGAAATCGCTCGCAGCGGTAAGCGTGTCGCCGTCGTAATGCTAGCTAGGCCATCATATAGGCTTGGTGAGACTATATCGGCGGCTATCGACTTTTCGGATGCCGAAATTCCCTGTTATGCAATACATGCTTCTTTGGAGACATCTGAGAAGGTGGAAAATTCTATCGCATTGCGTTCGGAAGCTAGCATATTTCGTGTTACACGGAAAGTACATGTGTCCCATTCACAGTCAACGCTATTTGCAAGAAGGATCATGTTTTCACCTACAATACCTGTCTCGGCCACTCCTGAATTTATCACTAGTGGCGTCAGCCTACGCTGGAGGATTCGCATAGAGTTTGTTACTCCACGTCTGATTGGAGACCAAAACGCTGCTCTGGGATATGCGGATCTTTTGGAGGAGGTCTCCAGAGACCATAGAGGGGTCGTTCTTGCAGCTACAGAGGCCCTTGAGTGCGATAGTTTTGATATAGCGGTCCCTCTCAGGATATATGGTGCTTTGGCCGGTAATTCAGAGCGGGATGAGAGTCTCACTGAGGGACTTGTTGTATAATGGACGCTTCAGGAGCGTCCTAATGGAGTTTGTAATATATAGATATACGAAATGCCAAGCATCTCATACCGACATCTGTTCGCAAAACCAAGCATTACACAACCGCCGAGCCGCTGAAATATATTTCGAATTTGGTACGCCAAACCAGTGATATACTGATTCCAGTCATGCTCTACTCTTTGGCTCTTTCGATACCGGCTGTTACAGCTCCTGGTGTAGCATTTTAGCCTTAGGCGTCAAGATTTGATCGGTAATAGGAACCAGCTTTGTCGAGCTGTAGAACCGCCCATCGACTGCCTTTGTTTAAGTATCAGATAAGTTCCGATTCAATCGATTCCAGCACCACTGTGCCTTTGGATACTGCCCCAGCCTCTTCATCAGGTCCAAATTCTCCTTCCCAGATCCCTCCCAGACAAGCCTGCCCTGCAAATTAGCATCTTTTTCTTTCCTCGAATGTCGGCCTGAAAGGCCTATTTACCCGATGCTAAGAAATGGAGAAGACGAAGGAGGGATTTGCTGACCAGTGATCCACCGCTTTTAGGGCCCAGTTTCTCGTCTCCTCCTCCCTATTCTCGAAGCAATGCCAGAGAGCAGCTGCCATGTATGCCTCTGCGAGCGCGCCACTCAGGCTCTCCGCCTCGTACAGCCTGACCAGCTCCGCGGCCTTTTCCAGGCTGTCGTCCCGCAACCGCTCGGGGTCAAACGGAAGCAGCTGTTCTCGGAGCACAGCGATGCGAGCAAGGCGAGCATCTGAATCCGCACGGAGAGACTCTGGGCCGGAGCAGAGTGAGCATCGGCATTGGAATCCCCAGTGGGCGTGGATCACAGCCTGCCGAGCCGCGAAATCCTGCTTGCCGTCGATGTACGAGACGGTGATCTCGTCGCCCGGGTGGATCGCACGCGTGGCGTGGACCCGGTGGGTCAGAGACGTGCGGTCAAATGCGAAGCGTGCGTTCGGTCTGCAGTCGTGGTTCAGCCTCGCAGCTTCCGGGACGACGATGCCGAAGCCATGCTGCGATTTCCCAACCGCGGCGCTGAAGCCGTTCGTCAACAGCACGTCTTCCGTCTCGTCCACGCCGAAGTGGCCCGCCAGGTCGTAGAACAGGCTCTGGGACCGCCGCGGTAGTCGTGATACGGCTTCCCGCTGCAGCGAGAGCCTCTCCGTCTCGGGCAGGTGACGCATGGCAGATTCTTGTATCAGAAATACCGGAGTCGATGCCAGTATCAAGCTTCCTCTCCTAATGCACCATGTAAGCCCATGCCCCAACTCTGATCCTCTTTTTTTTTTTTTCGCATATCGTGTCAGCATACGTGATCGTGGAATTGCAAATCAGCCCTTTCCCCCGTCCGGCGATCTCCTGCTCGAAGAACTGCGGCGGTTGGCTTGCATCCGAAGAGACGAGCGGAGCAGGATTGGCGTGTATCGCATCTTCAACAGCGGCAATGCTCTCGTTCGAGGCGAGGATCGAAATCCCTCGGCCGTTGGCAAATGCTGGGAAGGTATAGATGCAGTACTCTAGTAGTGAAGCCGGCGCTGCGATGCAAGCCGACTTGGAACTTGGCGAGGCGTCAGTACTCGGGCTACCCGCCAAGTTGTCGCGGTAGGAAGACTGGAGTAGGTTCTCGGCTATGCAGGTGTGTTCGACTAGAGGGTTGCTGAACGGGTTTGCCTGGGTAGGACACAGCTCCGCCGAGGGGGGGGGGCTCGCTTGCAACAACTCCTGAACGTGGAGACGACATCGACCTCCAGTAATAAGCGAGCAAAGCCAGAGGCTCCGGAAGCCGAACCTCGCCAGAAGCATTATCTCGGTCGCTCGTCTAAGATAATTAATTGATGATAATAATAATAATAATAATAATAACAACAATAGAAATATGAATCGAGAGGGAAAGAAAAAATTCTTATAAGGTTGCCGACGGTGCTTGGGTAAAGGGGAGCGACAAAGCGTCGTTTCATTGTTGACATATGGCGAAACGGAATTGTAACATCGTGTTGACCTTGTGCGCGGAGATGGTATCAAGAGCTTTGCAGAAGGTAAAGCTTAGAACATCTCTTCTCTTCCTTTGTGATAAAACCCAGAGGGTATTTATTACAGCTTACTGAATTACTTCCCCCTTTTCTTTCTCTCTTCTCTTCTTCTCTCTTCACCTCACCAAGCGCACCTAACTGGTATTAACACAGTAGTCACCCCCACCCCCTTTTTTCTTATATATATATATATAATTAAAAAAAAAAAAAAAAAAAAAAAAAAAACAAAGGTGCAGCGTGGAATAAACAGAATTTAAAATGGGTAAAGAAACCAAATCAAAATAAACAAAACGAGAAACACCTTGGAAAAAAAGAACAGGAGAAAGAAAAGGAAAA